CAATCCATTATTATTATTATTATTATTATTATTATTATTATTATTATTATTATTATTATTATTTTATTTTATATTTTAATGACAGTTTAGGACATTAGGTAGCTATAAACACGGAGTGTACTTGAAAGCACCACACACACACCGATAGTGAAACCACATGAATGAACTCCAGGCAGTGTCTCTGTGCGTCCTGTCTACCGTACTGTCTTTAATGGGCTCGTCCTGTTTTCAGGCCGGTGTACACTTTCTATGAACTTTTACACCATTTCAGTGACTAAAGGGAAACTTCAGCCTTTGCCCCTTGGTGATGTATCAGCGCCTTTTTCTGTGTGCCAGGCTGCTGCTATTTTTTACAGGTAAGGAGGGGAATACTACTTCAGCTGCTATTATTACATTATATTACATGTGTTTATAGTTATATAAATGAGCTGCAAATTTATATAATCCCAATAGTAATGACAAAAAAGGTTACAAATGAAGTTACACAGAAGAGCAAAGAGGCAAATGTCCATGATTTGTACGTTTAAGTAACACAAAGTTTAAGGCTAAATAACAAATAAGACAAACTTGTTTTACCAGCTTTAAATTCCATGAACATGACAGCAAGAAGATCGTTGTGTTATTGTTAAAATGATAGTCTATGGGCAGAAATCTGTGCCATCAGAAACTGAATTTGAATAAGTTAAATTTGAATTTGAATTTATGGTTTGAAAATGATCATCACTAAATTGAAATTGAATTTTATATTTTGAAAATGAATTGATTTGCTTTGAAACTGAAATGGAGTGATATAAAATTATTCTGCTCATAATGTTTATGGACAGAATTTCTAGGTGCAGCAAGTGGCAGAAGGCTTTCAACTGGGTGGTCTCAGAATCAGTCAGGGACGAGTTCCTGCCCCAATTGGAGGAGTTTAAGTCTCGGGGTCTTGTTCACATGTGACAGGAGAAGGGGAGATCAATAGGCGTATTGGTGCTGCGGCTGCCGGGATGCGGATGCTGTGCCGGTCTGTTGTGGTGAAGAGAGAGCTGAGTGTAAAAGCAAACCTCCTGGGTGAGGTCTTAAAGGCATGTCCCACCAGGAGGAGGCCTCAGGGCAGACCCAGGACACACTGGAGAGATTATTTCTCTCAGATGGCCTCGGTGTCCCAACAAAGTCCCCGATTCTAATTGGATTTTCCTAAATCTTTTTATAAGTGCAAAATGTTTACATGTGAATGCAATTACTGTACATTACAAACTGTATGTTGACAGAACCGCCTTCGTGTTATTGCTATTATAACAGTAATTACAGGCTCACAGAGTGATAAGAGGGAGATATGACTCACACATTCTTGCATTCACAGTGTTGGAATATGAGATAAGTTATTGCATAGTTTCCACTGATGAGTCGGATTAACTTAAGACCTGTTTTCACATTTATACCTTGTGGTAGGATGTATGCAAAAGGTTATGTCAACAATACAAATCATTGTTCTTCTGTAAGAGGTGCAAATATTTTTCCGGGAGCAGAGATTTTGCTTTATGCCTCCGGCTGTTTCATGTGATCATCACTGTAATAATGCAGCTTACAATATTGTTATATTTTAATATTTTACTACTGCTACTATTATTCCTTACTAGTGTTGTTTGAGAGTCCATGCTAGTTTGCTAACTTGGATTAAAGGGCAACAGCCAAATTTTCTGGATCTCATGGGTGGCCCAGAATATTTGGTGCGCCTATGATTTATCAAAGGAACTCCAACCAGGAAACCAGAACGTGTGCAGCACCACAATGTTTGTCCCTTGTCCAGATATTCTGAATAGTTGTATGTTTACAGGGATTCCTGCTATTGCGCCTTATCATACTGCATTATTTTTGTGGCAGTTGTTTGAGTATCTGACTCTGAGGCATAAATGTGACTGTCAAAGTATCGTTTCAGTCACAAAGGCCAAGCTGCCTTTGATTTTATGCAGTTAAAGCAAAGGCACAAGAGTGATCCAGCACTCAAAGCACCCTTAATGGAAATTTATGGGAAATTTTGCAACATCAATCAACATTAATCGGGTCACATTTAGAACTTTTTTAAAGAATGTTTATGGAAAAACCTTTAACAGAAACAACTATACAATCTAAAAAATTGGGGACTCCTGAAATGTAAGATCTTT